AATGTCATATAAAGTTGAAAATTAGAGTTTTGCTTCCCAGGTGGGATTAATATTTGAAACATATCACTTAAACGTGGGCTTTTGCTCGTCTAATGCTATTTACACATCATAAAGACAGAACTACTCACCTTTAAGCAAACTTTATCATCTGTGTCCTTAAATGTCTGCACACCTGCACAGTCACATGGTCACGACTACGTTTGCTGATTGGGTCTCAAATACCACCAAATAATTAACACATTATTTGAAACACCTGTGAGCCAATAGATCTACATTTTTACATTTTCACTTTTTGGTTGATATAACCACATGAAGCCAGTGGACATTTTAGGAGACAAGATCACGTTGTTGGACACGTTCACCCAGAGTTGTTTGAAGTAATTTCTAAGATGGCAAAAAGTGGAATTGTAGCTTGTTGTGTCATCCTTCTCTTGACATCTGTGTAATTTGAAAAAACCTGCATTTTACGGTGACTTTATAATTTCACCGGTCAAAAAAGTGTGTGTGCTGGTGTCGCTATCAGTCATTGTCCTTTAAAGCCTCGTGTTCACATGCTGCTTTGTAATTTCTCTGGTAAAGAAATTGATTTTACATTCAGAAACCACATCCTCCCTGCTGTTCATTCACCTCTGACCCAGTATCTCCAAACTGTCTTTCACATGGCGGCAAATAGCTGACACTGATGATTTAACAACGGCATATACCCAAAATAATGAGCCTGACCAAAAGCACAAACATATAACATATTTTATTCACACTTTCTATTGTACAAGATACAACCAACGCTTGCTGTAGGCAGGGCTCTGCAGCAGCTCCGGATGGAGATGTGAAGAGGTTCGTCCTGCTACTCAGAGGTATGGCTGATCTGTGGACAGCGGAGGCTCTTTATACACACCACCCGGCGTCACTGGAGCCTTTGGTGCTTCAGCAATTTGACTGAAAGAGATCAAAACACCAGTATAAAGATTCAGCTAAGAAGAATAACATTTTACTGATGCAGATGTTGTGGCGTCTCACTGTTTTATGAAATGCATGTTATCTTTGACAAGAAGCTGGATTGCTGCGTATTTTGCAAAACTGTTGAGAGAACACCAATATCTTGGTGAGCTGAAATCCAGCTGTGTTCATCAGGTTTGCTCGCTCTGCGATGAAGCTCAACATGATGTAAATCCACTGATTTACCCGCCAGCAGTCAGGGCCTTCTGCTTAGACATCACGATTGTGGAGGGTACCGACTCTCTGCGTCCGTCTCTGGTAAAATAGTAGTTGTCGGCATACTTGTGGCTCGGGCCTACTGGCAGCTTTGGTGGGTCCTGCGTCCTATCAAAAAAAAGAAAACACGATAAACAGAATTTCACAATGCTACTAATTTCCTATATACAGTTTGCGGATACATTTAAAAGTATGAGGGGCTGCATTTGTATGGAAAGGCAGCCCAGGTGCAACTGAAATGCAAAATAGGACTCAGGATTACAGGTTTGACAAACAGTGTTCTTTCCCACAGTGGTTCTATGCTTGACTTCTTAAACATTTTCTCCATTTTCTTATCTCCCTGGTAAACAGTTCCGCTTGTTCCAGGATGATTACGCTGTGAGAAATATTTTAAAACCAAGCTTTCTATGCGGTGCTGCAATCTTCTCCTTTGGTGACTGATATCTGCATTTGCATTTGCATTGTGGGATCGATAAAGGTTTAATCTATCTATCTTTAATCTATCTTTCTCCATCAGGGCTGCACATAGTGTCTTCTACTGAGTCAAACCTAAGATTCTGCCTTTTTTATGTATTATCAAATAATTTAAATCACCAACATTTAGCCTGATATATTTGGACAGTTTAGTCCTTAGGATGCAAATTGGAATAGAGCCGATTAGTTTGAAAACAGACAGATTGGGAGCAACTGAAGCTTGCTGAGAATTGTGCAAGGTCTGGCAGCAGGTGTTGTTTTGAAGCACATGCAATGGCAGGTCTAACAGGTCTAGTTTTAGTAAGCAAATACCGATAAAATCTTATATTTTGAAGACATTCAGATGCTAAACCAACTCACAGGAGCCTGACAGTGCAGCCTTTTGTTGACAAACTGTCATCACTCAAGTCTATTCAAGCTTTACTTGGATTCAAAGTGATGCAGATTAAAGTGAATAAATCAAGAGATGTGCCACAGTATGACTTCATAGCATGTCACTTGCATATCGTTAATAATGTATCCAGGGACATTACATCTGTCTTTGGTTCAGTGTGAAGCTACCTGCTCCCTTCATAGCTTCACAGTGTAGTGCACCGAGTCTTACCTCTTAGCAATCTCCTCATAACGCAGCTGCAGTTTGGATTGCAGGTCATGCTAACAGTAAGAGAAAAGGTAAATATTCAACTACTGCAAACACCACAATATCAAACAAATGTTCTCCTGCATATGTAGATTGTTATTAGCCCGTATCACTGCTGCTAGCTTGACTGGGTAGCTAGCTCTCGAAGCTAGTTAGCTGGCTCTGCTCATTTCTGCCTATTAAACGTGTTCTGTCTATTATTTTATTTCCGGGAAACATCCGTAGAAAACTTGTTTAACACCCACAGGATGTATTACGTTGATTATAAAGTCTGACTGTAGTTTTTATTCCTTACCCCTGATAGAAAATTCCGCAGCCTCTGGATGAGTTTAGTAGCAGTAGCCATGCTAGCTGTTGTGAAGGACACGGCTCTTCTTCGGTGGTGTTGGAGGACTTCTCAGCGCAGCACTGTCACCTGCAGGCCACAGACACGAACTGCAGCACCACAGTGGACCGTCTGAGAAATAAACAGGAGCATGAAGGCTTTACCATTGTTGACTGGGACAAATCACCAGGTCCAGTCGCCACAAAATGTACAGAAGTGCCATTACTAGTTTTTTTTTGTTTAAATGACAGGTGATTTTCTTTAATTAATAATTTCTGCATAATTACACAATTGTTAATGCTGAGGCAAAATTTACCTGAGATTCATGCTAAAAAAAAAAAAAAGCATATTCAATTAAAACCAAATTGATTTTTGGAATACTTTCCTCCTATGTTAATACTAAGTAATTGTCTCTGAACATAAAGCAATTTATGTTTCTTTCTAGCAATGACTTAACTGTTAAAAGAACAAAGTGACTTTTACTATTGCTATTACCTTCCTAATAAAAGGCTCGTTTGTATCTGCAGAACATGTAGCTGTATTTACTTAATTACTATACTCGGTTAGAAATCCTGCCACATTATCACACAGATGCTTGTATACAATTTAAAAATCTAAAATGTATGAAACTGTATAACAATATGCGACAGAATTACCTTCAGACTACCTACTGTCAGGATCATGTTTGTTGCATATATATTTGTTCTATGTTTTGATAATCTCTTATTATTCTCTCAATCTCTTATTATTGTCTTAAGGCACAATCAACATAACCTGTAAACAACTGCAGCACGAGAAAACGTAAGTGGAAACAGGACTTGGTGGTTTGTGTAAATCTTTCTCTGTCACAAGCAGCTATCTGTAGGATGCAGGGTGGCAGTTAAAACCACAAAGGGGGGAAATGAAGGTGCTCAACAGCTGGGTGCTGAGTGGCACGGAGGAACCAATCAGCTAGCTGCAACACATTTTGTGCTCATCCTGTAATAGTATAAAGTACAGTGGATCAGGGAGAGGCAGTCAGCTGGAACTCTGTTGATGCTAGCAGTCTGTTCCAGAGCTCTGTATTCAACTATCTGCTAAATAAATACTTTGATTGAGTCCTAAATATCTTCTCCTGTTGCTTCATTAAATGAATATGCAGGAGTGATCTCACACACAGTCTGATTTCTGGTAGATTGAGCTCTGACACCACAGAGCTGTGTAAGAACGCCACGTGATTCAACAAAATTCAGCAAAAGAAGATTCAAAGAGAAATACAAAGTTTATTTGTTGCACAAGAAAACACAGTAGAGGGCGACGCCGCCGGTATACCATGCAGTCAAGTATTACATCTGTGTGCTTGTCTCATGCAGCATGCACTGAACAGAAGAGTCCACAGGAGAACACATGCACATGTACAACACTTTGACCCGCCAAAACGTTGAACCTTGTACAGCCCACCTTGCATTTGCCGACCTCCAGCGGCCGAAGCGTTCGCCTCGACCGGTGGAGCTCGGCGAAGTGGCAAAGTATGTTTACATTCACATAAGAAACCAGGTTCGTAAAAAGAAACCAGAGATGAGATTTCTCCCCACGTTGTCATCACTTCGGCACCTAAATGTGCAGATTTTTATTCATGATACTCAGTGAATCTCTGCAGCCTTTAGCACAGTTAAAGAGGACAGTTTGTCTCACTCTGACTAATGTGTCTCATGGTGTTAAAGTGGCTATTTTAGCTCCTCTGACTTCAACACTTTAATTTTGTAAAGAAGAATTACCTTTAGAGTAATGATAACATCCTTCCTGCTTCAGCGTGACTTTTTTTTGCGCATGTAAAAACCTCATTACAAACCAGGCCAAGTGTTCACATGGTCCAGAAATCAGGTTTTTTCTCCTGCAGCAGAAATCTAGTCTAGTTGCCCTTAATCCCTTATTTCGTTTAATTAAACCGAGCTTCTTCTCTATATGACACCTAAGAAAACAAAACTACAAAACCAGACGATAATCTTGCTACTTATGTGCATGTAAATATACAAAATGCTTCTCAGTTCGGTGCTAAATTACTCTTCATGAACAGTTTCTTAAATACAAAACAAAAACAGATATGCAACTTCTGAGTGTAGCTTCCTTTCGTGGTATCAAAGAGAACGGTGTTCATCATACACAGCCACAGGATATAAAATGTTTGTACAGTACGTAGCATGTTTATTCGTTGTAAACAATTCTGTCAGACTGCAAAAATAATTGAGCCGTTCTGTGATCTGTTCATTTGGTTCGTGAACACACCGACAGAGTCCTGAAAGGTTGTCATCACAAGGTTGAAGGAGTTTTTTTTTTGTTGTTTTTTAAAGGAGGAAGAGGGGGTTTACGTAACAGAGCAACAATTTTGATGCTTTATAAACAGAAGACTCAGAGGAAGTCAGTACAAAAGCCAGCAACAGCCACTGATGAATAAGAAAATAACCCTCAACGCTCCATCTCTGTAGTGGAAAAGTGTCATGTGAAGCCAACCTGTGCTGAATCCCAGCCAGCTCCTTCCCTCAAGTCTGAATTCCCCCAAAAATCCCGGTGCCACAAATTGTCATTGTGCATATTATGTACTTCAGCACATTTGGAATTATACACATCCTTGTTACCAAAATATACATCAATATTTGTACAATACAAAGACAAAAAAAACACAACATTTGTTCAAAGAAGCCCTGGGTTTGGATTCACTGTGAATGTGTCCCTCTGCTGTTTTCAGTTTACCTTTCACATTCAGGTACAAAAGTTATGTCAAAATACATTAGTGCACTTGCCCCTCCGATGTAAACATCACTACACAGTAAATTAAAAGGGAACAGGTCATGTAGGCGTCACTCAACGTGATTGTGAACAAGATGAAGACGAACGCTACGAGGATGCGACACTTACAAAGCTTAGAATGTGTTGTTTGTGGTAAAGAAAGCCAAAGAATAAACACCTTTTCTTTTCTTTTTTTAACAAGCCAAAGACGATCCAGGCTCCGGAGAAAACACAGACCTCAGTTTGGCAGCTCAGTGTTTTTACAGCGAGACACAAAGTCGAGCCGCATCGAGCGTTCAAATCGGATCTCAAAAAGCAGCAGACGCAAACATGAATGTGCACCGTGTGGAGCTTCATCATCATTGTCATGAGGTGATGTCAAGATTACTACGCCAGTGGAGAAAAGACACATAAAAAAAAAAAGTCTTTGTGTTGAGTTGAAACTACAAACATGTCTCCTCACATTTCTGTCTTCAGAGATATGGCTTAGAGGACACTGTGATGATATCGTGGCACCCTTTGAGTCGACTTGATGGCGTCTTCTTAGCAGATTGTACTTTAAAGTCGCAGCTGCGTAGTGTCTCAGTGTGATTTGTGACGTCACCCTGTACGGACCGGTTCCACGTGAAAGAAAAACAACGGTTCACACTGCAAGGAACACGACCGATAAGCCAGTGACATCTTATTCCCCTGCTGGTGTGACTGTTTCGTGAATAATATATTTAGTTTTTCCTGTGGTCTGATTAGTGCACGGTGGCGAAACCTCTGAGAAGACGTAATGCTATGAAATACTGAAGCAAAACATGAACAAAACTCCATCTGACAAACGATCTGAAAAAGATAAATCAGTCATGTTGCTCACAGTGTGAACCGAAGCTCGTTCTTTAGTCCGTGAACAGCAGCACTACAGAAGATGCAGTCTTCAACGGAAGGGAGGAAAAAAAAAACATGACTTCTGACTTTTCGTACCTTTTGGTCCCACAACAGTTGAGCCCAGCGTTCCCTCCACTACTCGGTATCACGGCAATATATTTAAAAAATAGACATTTTTAGAAAAAAATCCATCCAAAAGACATAAAACCACATTTCATGGATACAAAAATGTTGAGCCTTGGCTAGTCAACCAATGAGAACTTCCCTCTTTCCCTGTTACGAACGCATCATACTTTACAAACGTAATAAATAAGACCAGAGAGTCTGCCTGAAGGCAAATATTTACAATACAAAATTCAAGTAAGATCGTCTCCTCTTCCTTCAGCCAGACAACTTTGTAAATGTGTTTACAACTTGAAGTTCGTCTGGGTCTCGCTGGAAACAACTCATCTTGCAATTCATGTTATCCTTGAAAGCCTTAAAAGGAACGATATGAGCAGTCAAAGTGAGAGAGCTGTCACTTTCTCTGATGCCCTTTTTGTGGAGTTTCCTCTCTGCGCTCAGTCTTCTCTGATGCCGGTGCAGCTTGAGGACTGGTGGAAGTGGTTTCTGCTGCCTGAGTGCAGCTGCTGTCAGCGAGAGGACGTTGTGTTTGCTGCTGCTGCTGCTGCTGCTGAGATGAGGCGGCGTCCGTCTCCGGCTCGGGCTTGTCGTTGGTTTCCTCTCCGTCTGAGCACGGCTCCCACTCGTCCTGCTCCTCGCTCTCCGTCGAGCCCTGCACAGCGATCTGGGGCACCAGCGTGAACCTCCTCACCACCGGCACCTCCAGCTCCACCTCCACGCTGGTCTGGGGTCGGGTGTTCATCCAGACCGTCCTGTGCTGGTGCTGCTGGGGCTGCGTTTGGGCTCCTGGAGCTGCTGCGGTCCCGGTCGCCGTGGTGCCGGTTTTCTCCTCCGGCTCGTCAAAGCTCACCTCCTGCACTGCCTCCTGCTTCTTGAAGGAGTCCCGCCGCTCCGATAGGTTGAGCTTCCGCATCACGACCAGCTGCTCCGATCGCTCGATCCTTTGGCTGCTTATGTAACCTCCCAGTCTGCTGTGGTCAGCCCCGAGGTAAAAGCCTCCACAGCTCCCCTCCACCTCCGAGTCCCCCAGCAGATCACCCTCGCCATAAAACGGCACTTCCAGCGTGTGCCTGCGGGGGGCGTATGACTTCTTGTCAGCATGATACACGCCGGACAGTTTCTCAGCTGACTGCACCCTCTTGAGCAGAGGAGATCGAGGCGGCTCGGCGCTGCGGGGCCGAACAATGTGTCTGACGATGGTGGGGGGCGACAGGGTTTTGCCGTGGTAGGTGTGCAGGGTTTTGGCGAAGCCCGGCAGCGGAGAAGGTGAGCGCTGCGGGGAAAGTTGCTGGTTGGAGGACGAGGAGGAGTTGCAGGCCAGAGGTGAGGGGGGGATGTTACTGGTGGATTTCCGGCGGCCCACCTTGGTGTAGCGTTGCGTGCTCAGTTTGGAGCCCAGGCCGTGCAGCGAGCTGGGCCGGATGTGTGCAGCGGGGGAGCTGGGAGAGCTGGAGCAAGGAGATGTGCTCTGAGGAGAGTTATTGTCTGGAAAGTAGAGGCAAAGCAAAACAGTTTTAAATACTGCACACAGTGTTCACACAAAACCAGTGCTATAAAAGACAATCACAACAACATAATACGTGGGGGAATCAAACATTCATAGAGCAACTGCAGAATCTCCACATCCACAACCCTGGAGTAACTCACCAAAGCCTTGGTGGTCGGGTGCGGGGCTCCGGCAGGGCGTGGAGGGGCCGGGGGAGAGGCTGTGAGTCGGGGAGCCTGGAAGACTCTCGCTGGAGGAGACGGAGTGATGAAGACCTGAGGAGAAGCTGCGACTGCTGTGCATCACCGTGCTCTGCTTGGACAGTTTCTTCAAGATGCTTCGTCGCCTAAGAGAGGAAAAAGCACAACATATGAAATGATGTTGTCGTAGCTGAAACTATTCAAAACATTCAAGATATAAATAGTCCGTTAGGATCAACGTGTATCTTAAAATCAGATTGGATTTGTTGGGCTTATTTAACAGTCTGCAGAACTTCAACTCATCATACATGCCAGTTAAAACACTTCCATCCATCCATCCATCATCTATACACTGCTTAATCCTCACTGGAGTCTATCCCAGCTGACTCAGGGTGAAGGCAGGGGACACCTGGACAGGTAACCAGTCTATCACAGGGCTACACTTAGAGACAGACAACCAAGCACACTCACATTCACACCTACGAACAATTTAGAATCACCAGTTAACCTCAACATGTTTTTGGACTGTGGGAGGAAGCAGGAGAACCTGGAGAGAACCCTGCATGGGGAGAACATGCAATATCCACACAGAAAGAACCGGCAACCTTCTTGCTGCGAGGCAACAGTGCCACCAACTGCGCCACCTTGCAGCCCTGATTAAAACACTTGCTTCATGTTTTTGTAGTCGATCATAACTCCACTAACAGTTCCTGACACTAGAGGGAGACAGCGGACTGACAACGTCCGCCGATGACCAGCTTCACAAAGTAAACAAATGATGAGTAACACTGCAGAGCTGCAGGTGGTGCGAGGAAACAACAGGCAAACCTCGGATTTTCACCTGTCATAATTATCTCTCCTCTTGCTCTTCTTGCTGCGACGAGCCATCTTGCCTTTGTGTTTGGTCTTTCGAGCTGGACCGACTTTGATGGACGTGTTCTCGAGCGCTATGGTCTGCAGAGCCACCTTGTTGCCACTCTGCAATTTTCACAGGAAATAAAGTGTCAAGTCGACTGAACTTCAAACTAACTGAGACGCTGCAACACGAGCGTGAGCGAGCTGTCGTACCTTCAGCAGCAGTTCTATCATCTCTGGGTGGACCAGGCCTTGAACGGACTCTCCGTTCACGTGGGTGATGAGGTCTCCGGTGCAGAGACCTGCCTGGTGAGCCGGGCTGCCCTCCTCCACACTCTGTTGCAACAGTGAGGAGAGGAGTTTGATTTGAGCATTACATAACCACCTTTTTATATCGCTCTCCTCTAGTACAGGATCATCAAAATAAAGCACACAACTTGGACAAAAAACATTTGAAACACACAAAAGCCTCAGTTGTGTGTTTTCTTTTTTTGTAAGGCTTGTGGTAAAAACCCACCGACACCATGTGATGCACAGTGTAGACGTCGCTGTCGCCCATGTAGACCCGGATGGCCTGCAGGGTGAAGCCGTACTTCTTCCCTGAGGTGTGGATGACGATCGGCGGCCTCAGGCTGCTGGGGCTCAGCGACAGATCCCGGTTGGGGGACGAGTCACGAGACGAGGGGTTGGAAGACAGAGAGCGAGGGGAGATGGGGCCGGGCTGGAGGCTGCTAGGCGAGTCATCTGAAACAAACACAGGAGCGTTGTTGTTAACAGATACATCTGACAGAGTTACACGCAGCTGGAGATCAATAGATTTCAACTTTTATGACACAAACTATAAGAATGTTTTGCTTCCAAACTCAGTGGCTCATTATTGAGCAAAGTGCGTCTTGGAGGTGATGATAAGCTTCAGTACCTGTAGTGATGATGAGGGACAGGGCTGAGACGGAGGCTGACTTGGGAACCTTCCCTCCACAGGGAAGCCTCTGTCTGTCCGGCGTCTCCAGCTGGTTACCAAAGCGTCGAGGGCCGGCCGGGTCCTTGGGGGATGAGTGTTTGCCACCGGTACTGTTGCTGCGAATCCTGATCCTCCGAAGGTTTGACACCACCACCTCAGCTGCAGAGAGCCGTTTACAGGTTAATGTGTTAATATGCTCAGTGTTAATTCCTCAGGTACTTTCTATACTTGCACTTCCTGCAAACGGTGTTGCAAAAAGTCTGTCTGTACCTTCATCATCGGTGGACAGGGCAAAGCGGGGCATCGTTTCCAGGCTGTGAGTGCTGCTCATCACCAGGGGACTGGTGCTCCTCTCAGACTGGGAGGAGCTGGAGGAGGCCCGAGGGCGAAGGCTACAAACAGTCAAAGACCAGTTGGACGAGTCAATCAGCTTGTAAGAGAGTCCAAGTGCCCAACACACCCTGCATCACTGCTTTTATACAGACACAAAGCTATCAGGGCTTGTGATCTATTCTTTTTCTATCCGTTTTGGCAAGACTTCATGTGACCTGTCCGTGAAGCAGCTCTGGAGATAGATTATCTACCTGGCCATGCGTCCAGAATGCCTGTGCTCCACACTGCCATCTGCTGGGCTCGGGGTGGGACCGAGTCCTCCCATGTCTCCCCGGTCCTCCTTGTCCTCGCTGTGGCTGCGGTCCGAGGAGAAGCTCAGGTTGGACGGCGTCGCCAGATGTTCTGTGCTGCTGTAAACCTTGAAGGACAAATGAGAGCGGGTGTGAAATAGAGCGCTGGCCCAATTGTTGAAGAGCTTCCAAATATTCTAGGATCCTTTCTGGATGTCCTCCAGGAAGTTTACTTTGTTATCCCAACACGTACCTGTTTGACACACTGAGCCAGTCACTTTTTGGATGGTCAGCGTGCTTATTGTCACAGATACGAGACAAATACAGATGGCTGTAGCTGCAACAGGGTTAATAATGCATAGAACAGTAATATAGTCTGACAAAAGTTGCTTTTTACTAAATTCTTCCACAGCATGAGCTCCACAATTATCATATGTTCCTTTAAATATGAATACTGAGAAAAGTAAATAAATGTTTGAACTGTCCACAAAAATAATGCTGCAAGTTCTGTGTTATTTTCAATAGGGCGCTTGATTTAAGCCATACCAGAACATCACGTTTCAACAGACCAGAGCACTCGTTACCTTGCTGAAGCGATGCGACCAGGAAGAAAACTGCCTGATTTCCAGGGAAGACTCTTCGTCATTGGTTTCTTCATCCTCGTCAGAAGCCAAATGATGGTAGCGGTCTGAGCGAGCTGAATACAGAAGAAGGACACACTTTTAACTCAAGAGTCTAATCCCAAAGAGATTTATCAACCAGCTCAGCTGCATCTTAACTTACTCTTAATTCATTATTCTAAAAAAAAAAAAATATGGAGAATGTCATCTGCAAAATGTTATCTGTTGACTTCTTTTGTATATAAATGTCCAAACAGCAGGGGTCTTCTGAATTATAAGGGACATTTTGTTTTCAATTGCCACAACGAATACTGTTCAATGCCCACACTCTGGTTCATATTTTGCTCTCAACAGTTCTTGAAGCCTTTAGTCATTATGTAATATTCCGCAACAAACTGTAAACAGTCTCGAATGTAACTTACTGTCAAAGTAGCTGGTGTCGTCCTCCGCCTCCAGCTGAGGGATGAACTCAGCTTTCTGCCGGAGGAGTCCGTTCCAGTCCAAGCCCAGGAAGAACGGGTGCTGCTTCACCTCTGAGGCTCCACCTACAACCACACAGTTTTCACAGTTATCAACACAGGATCAAGTTCAGCGATCAGCAGTTACAAAGAAATCCTCCATCATTCTATCAGATTGTTATGACTTTGAGGAAACGCTGTAATCTTTCAATATCGGCCTGCATCAAACGGCATTATCATCACTGTACCTGTTCCCATTCGGTCCAAAGGGCTCTGCCTCAGCAGGCGAGTGATCAGGTCCTGGGCATCAGCAGGTAGGGCATCGTCTCCTTCAGGCCAAATGATTTCATCTGACGATCACAGCAAAACAGAGCAATCAGCGGACCACAAATAAAAGCAGCAAACTGAAAACAAACTCAAAGTTCAGGTGTCTAAGTTTAGAAATTACTGATCATCACGTTTTGTTTTGTTTTGTTTTGTTTTGTTTTTTACTTAAAGTGACTTTTTCCTATTTCAGATGGTGGTAATTGAGAAACTGCTTCGCCACAAAAAAAAGCAGAGAGACCATTTGCACCCTATTCTGTGTGGAGAAACACCCTCTGTTGTCACTGCTGTTTCTCATAAGCAGTATTTTTCAACATACTTTTCTCAAAAAGGGAAGTGAAACCATCCCAAGCTTGCTTTAGAAAATATATTTTCAAGGTATTTAATATAACTGATATCTTGCCCTTTTTTTTTTTTTAACACATCTATACATTTTGTATATAAATAAAGTAATCTCTGGTTAATTTCATTCTAGGATAACTTAATAAATTAATCTCAGAAAGATTTGATTCTCTGATGTAGGCTTTTGAAAATTGCCACTACTAGAGCGTTGATTCTTACATCTATAACTAGATATTTAAAAAATAAATAAATAAATGAATAAAAAGTTTTTTTTTTATTTCAACACTCACCACTGACAACTTGTCCGAAAAGCTCTTCAGGAGTGTCTCCAAAAAACGGAACGCAGCCGACCAGGAATTCATAGAGGATGATCCCCATCGCCCACCAGTCCACCGGCTTCCCGTAGCCCTGTCTGAGGATCACCTCTGGGGCGATGTACTCTGGAGTTCCACACACCTGCACAAGCAAACCAACAAAGCTAAGTTTGAAATCAAGAGAACCAGCAGCCTCTGCAATCATTCCTTTTAGATTACTTCTCTTCGATGCAGAAAGACGTTTGTTTTTGTACATCACCTGTTTGTCAATAAATTCTCTCGTGTCTTTCTCCATGTGACCCTCGTAGAGGTTGGTGGTCATGTTCATCAGGCCGATTCTGGACAGACCAAAGTCCGTCAGCTTGATGTGGCCCATGGATGTAATCAACAAACTGTGGGTTGGAAAAAGACAAAACACAGTCATCAACATAAAGGAAGAACTCTTGACTCTACATGTGCTTAAACAAAGACCAGACCACATTTGTTAGCAATAATGTCGGGTTTAACAAATCCTAATAAAAAAGCAAAAACCCTGAGTCACAGCTGGGTCAGCATAAACGTATTTTTAAAGGAGAGCCAGTATTTACAAACGATGCTGATCTCATGCAAAACATGTTTGACGGGAGTGAAGTGGGAGTTGATCCATGTGCTCACTTGTCAGGTTTGAGATCCCGATGCACAATGCCATAGTTGTGAAGGTACTCCAGAGCCAGGACTGTTTCAGCAAAGTACATCCTTGTCATTTCCACGGGCAGCGGGCCCATGTTCTTGAGCAAGTTGGCGCAATCTCCACCTGAACAAAACAGAACACCTTCAGACCAAAGACGCAGGGGTGACTGTTCAAGCAACACAAACCATGTATGTGCTACTGGACACTGCAAATTTGACTCTTGGACTTCCCCGCATTAGCTGCAGGTAATGTAAACACTCAAGAAATTTGTGGTATTTCTCTATTTGCACTCACTGTAAACGGTTCTTGTTTAGACTACGTTAAACATTGCAAAATGTAAAAATGCATCAGTCATCGCAGCCTCTCTGCACTTTACCTTCTACGTACTCCATGACCATGCACAGGTGACGTCGTGTCTCAAAAGAGCAGAACATAGAAACAACAAACGGGTTCTCGGCAAAGGTCAGGATGTCCCGCTCCACAAACGCCTGCTGGATCTGGTTCCTCAGCACAAGGTTCTGGCGATTTATCTTTTTCATGGCGAAGCGTTGGCGCGTCTCCTTGTGGCGGACCAGATACACCGCGCTGTAAAAAACCCACAAACCACATTAGGCCTGAAATCCATACAGCCAACAGTCAACAGGCTCAAGAAATCTTTAAGGGATATTCACACTTTAAACACTGACAAAAACAGAGACCCATTTTTTACTGGCTACTTGCTGCTACTTGTGAGTATCGGCATAAATTTTACATTTCAGATTTTCGATTGCAGTTGTAGTTCAAAGCTGCTTAGATGTGATATCTCTGTCTGACACTACCTCTGTTGTGTTATGCTCATCCACAGTCACCATTACAACAAAAAGATGAGAGTGAAATCTGAATGAAATGAGTTTTTCTTTTTAATCTTCCAAGTTTTGGTACAAAAAAAAAACAAACTCTGCAGCAAGTTGAGTTAGAAAACATAATCAATTCCAAGAAAAAGAAATGAAAACTGACACAATAGACTTTCCATCTTACCCATAAGCTCCGTTACTGATGAGTTTGATGGTCTCAAAATCACTCTCAAGGGGCTTTCTTCGAGTTGGAGTCAGCGTCTGTGGGGCCTTATTCTACACGGAAGAAGCAGAAACATGATGCAGGTGGACGTGTTTAAATGAAACACGGTAGAAGCAATAAGAGTGTGATTACTGGGAGAATTATATTTCATATTCCTGGACATTTGCAGAATATACTGCTTCAGCATTTAAAGAGCCAACGAGTGAGGTTACATTTAAATCCATTTGGGACTTTGGGCTTTATAAACATTTAAATTCACCATTTGTTATGCTACTACCAGAACAAATTTCTACTATTTCAGACATTTACTTTCAAGTTACACATGTTCTAGCTTCCTGTAACCTACATAATAAAAAGAACGCCCTGATTTAAAATATTTATGGTACCCTTTTACACTAAAATGGGTCACTATGTTTCTGGAAACAACAAAAAGACAACAGTCCCGATCCTCTGGAGACAGATTTAGCGCAGCATGCACAGGTGGCTCAAAAACTATTTTAAGGATGGGTTGCACTTGAACAAAGTGTGTGTTCAGAGAGCATCTACTCTTTGAATCTTAACCCATATCCTCTTTGACTATCAAATACTGTGTGCGCTTAGTAAATTAGCAATAAGAGTAAAAGTTTACCTCCACAGCTGCATCTGTTTCCACCGACACTGTAGGGCTGGCATCATACTGCTCAAGCTGTACCATGTCTAGAAATAACAGAAAGAGACTGGGTTTAACATTACAAAAACGATCCTCAACTCCCACGACTGAGCCTTACTTCTCCATCTCTGGTACTCTTTTCTTTCACACGGTGTTTAGAAACTTTCCTGCGAACTTGCCGTCTCGTCTGAGCCTTGTCATGTGCCGCGGATGTTTAGCAATGCGAGGCCGGGGATTGTTATGCTGCAGTGACGTTTTTCTTGAAATTCATTAAGTTCCTGAACTGGAATTCCAAGTTACACTGAAGGGATTCTTTCTCTGGTCTGAACTGCTAGACGTGTGGTTTTTCTATGACACTTATTCGAGAAAATAATTCATTAAAAAGTAACAAAGGCAGGAAGTGAAAATAACAGAAGACGTCTCGAGGTATTAATGACAAAATAAAAGTTCCCCGTGACAAAAGAACACATGTGCTCACAGTCGTCAACAATGCTGACATTGTGAATATGCTAATTTATGCAGCAAGGCACCCCGAGAGTCTCATCAGATCATCTCTTCCATATGGGACACATGTGGTGTTAGTGTGAAACTTGTAAGACGTACTATTGAGTATTCAAAGACAAATCGGTGTAATTCTAATTAAGCTAATTATGCCATTAATTTCCAATAATTGTCTTCATACCGACACATTCGTCTCTGCCTACTGTATACATCGTGTGAGTTGAACTTGTTAGCCTAAAGTGTGAAGGAGTTACAGCAATTTCTGGGAAACTACCAACATGCAAATGTATGCAGAAATCTAATCAGACCATCTTCTCCATATGGGGCGCATATAGTGTGAAGAGAGTTTAGAGAGACGGCACGTTGACGCGATGTGTCACGTATCATGAATGCGTGCCCTAAAATACAAGCTGGCTTTCTTTCCATCCTTAAATCAAACTTCTCATTGAAGACCTCTGATGTTCTTATTGTTCAGACAGTGAGTGAAGAAATGTGCATGCATGTTAAATGTCCATTGGTTCAATGTGATAGCACACTGGCTCATTACAACGAGAGCATCTGATCTGAGCAACAACTGGTTCCTCTTCAGTGTGAACGGAGTACAAGGCCTCACTGGACAATTCCTTTACCTTCGAACGGGTCCCGCGTCAGGCCCAGCTGGCTGATGATGTACCGTGGGATGTCCGTCTTGATCCCCTGGCCAACTTTAGCATGACCCTCCGCTGCCTCGAGTAAATGATAAAACTCCTCCGGGTCGAACTCCTGTCAACAGCATCCAAGTTTAATCAATGTGGAGATTCTGAAGTGAAATATTCTGGCAGACTGAACATAAGGCAGCAAAAACAAGCGTGTAAATGGTTCGACTTAAAGGCAGCGTAGTCTTTTAGATAATCTGATCCAAGAGGCTTTAAGTCTTGATTTACGATTCTGATCAAACCTGTATTCAGAGTTGTTGACTCAACATTACAAGAGCTGAAGTAATGAACACAACAAACGTTTCCCTTATAGTTGATTACAGGTGACAAGAAAGTTTGTATTTTAACAGAGAAATTTAGCTCCTGAGGTCCTTCACAGCTAAAATCATTTTTAAAAAATTCCTGTCATTGGTATAGAGAGGATATTAAAAAAAAAAAATCTACATTAATACACTTTTTAATTAATACTTTTAATGACTGAAGTGGAAACCTTTAGCAACATTCAAAGATCATCGGCTTCATGTTCTGGTGACACATATCCACTTTCTAAGATGGAATAAAGGTCAGAATCTAATTTCTGTCCTGCTTTAAAGTGAATTACCTTCTGCCGGTTTTCAATCAAACTAATCTCATTTTCAATTAGGAAGAGATTTTCTCTTCCACAGCTTACCAGGCATTCAAGGAGGCGGGCCGGCCGAGAGATTATGATGAGGATCTTCCTGACCAGCTGGGTGATGATGGTTACCTCCTCGCTTTCAGAGCGCTCGTAGGCCTGGACGGGGGAAATGACAGTCAAGTTTATTTATGCAGGACTTTGGATGAAATGAATGAATGAAAGAATGAAAAATACTTTATTTATCCCAGAAGGGAAATTCAATTGGACAAACCACATCTAAAATCATACATGTACATTTTTATTTTATTTTTAAATCTGTTGTGCTGTGAAAGCATAAAATTAAAAAAAAATGTAATTCTAATCCTGTAACTTAGAATCAGTCAAAGGGAGAAAAGGAGCAAATTAGAAAGCACTGATTTTCAAGTATTCACATTTTAAGATATGGAATAAATGATGGGGTATATGCATCACAGGCAACTCAATAAAAAACAACAAGAACAACCAGTTTCTGGGACTTTCTCTGTCGATGGCTACACAACAGTTAAACTTTCATGTCAGACTGAAAAATCGGATGTGCCAAATGGGGTCATTAAGGTCATCGGGGCTTAGTTGTCTAATCACAACAGAGGGCACAGTTTGCTACCCCTAGTGCCAGTGCACCACCTCCGAAAAAGGCTCCAGCAGAAGTACTGCCGAGTCCTGAAACTGAAAATGAAATATATAAAACGCTGCATTCTGAGCATAAGGCTATCGTAGAAATACCAGACGCTGCCTGACCAAACAGCATCAGAGATGACGTCATGTAAAACCAAGAGGAATTATTAGAATAATCACCAAGTGGGTGGATGGGTGGAGTCTTAATTAGTCATCCGTGGCCTCTTTTTTAGATGACTGGATTAACAACAGTTTGACTGGGAACTGGAACTGTACTGGTTGCCTGCACAGTGTACGGTGCATTTGTGTTCGAGTCTTTATACGGCCTGCAACATGAAAAGATCATAACCACTGTCATCCCTCTGTTAAATATAATATTACAGTCAGCAGGTGGTTAGCTTAGCATCAAGAGTGGAACCAGCAGGAATGTGGTGGCCTGGCTCTGTTCAAACGCAACTAAATCTACCTCCCAGCACCTCCAAAATCTATTATATTCATTTCATTTTTTCCACAGATCCCAGTGGTTATGTTAATCTCATCTTCCGGTCATGCCGGACCAAAGTTACTAACATGAATGTCACACTGTGAAAGTGTAAGAAAGACAGTATTGTTGCCAGGAAGTCACACGACCAATTCTTCAACGGCCGTGTTATTCAGCGTTTGGTCCATAGGGAGAATCTGGTTAAGCACTTTTTATTGTTTCTGTGGTATTATTCCCTGATATCTTTTTCATTATAGTTTCTACACATGTCTGACAAAATCACCTGTGGCGCATAGACGACAGCTACAGGTAGGCGAATGTATAAAAAGGCCGCGTTCACAGTCAAAGCGTTGTTTCTCATAAAGCTGCCTTTGTTTTCAAAGTTCAGGAGGCAGTGCACCAGATATTTTCTCACTTGCTATTTGCAAAAGAACAAAATCTGTCACTTTCTGTATACCAGATGATATTTCACAAGCAAGCAATCGGGCAGCAAGTGTTAAAATTAAAAAAAAAAAAAGCTAAAACAACAACAACAACAACAACAACAGTACCATGTGTCCCTACATATTTTAAATCACAAATAAAGAGTCATGGAAAATTTAAGTTTGAGAAAGCAACATATTATCGCTGAGACTGTAACACCTAACAAAGTGGCCTTGGCTCACGAAGCCCGTCTCGTGGGTGTGTGTGTGTACATATGACAGCATTTGCTCCACTGTATGGGAACAGACTTATTGGTTCAGCTGGAGGTACAGCGAGTTGGTCATGCCTTCTGTCTGACAGCATGCAGAGAAGCACGGCAAGAGGTTGCTATAGAAACTAATATTTTACCACAAGACCTGTGACAAAAGTGGCTCTCACCGTCGCTGACAATTTCCACTAACGATTTACTGTGCGTGCTTTTGGCTATCAGACGGTTATCGAGCGATGCGCCTGATTGCTCGTTTCAGCCGGGTTCGATCAATCCCGTTTCATAACTTTGCATCTGAGCGAACGGTTAAAGAGTTCAGCGTGAAACTGCAGCATAACATTGAGGAAGTTGGCTTTATGTCTGTTGCAAGGCGAGGTATGAGCCGAAGGAACAGGTGGCCACTTAACGGCGTCTCAAAAAGCAATCGCAGCCCTGGAGAGAGAAAATGAAACAAAGGAGAGAAAAAAAATTTCTGAAGCAATAACTGTTAATGTGTTAAACAGTACAGTGCTGAACTGTGCTGCCTTCAGACCTCTCACCTCCTCTCTCACAGCATTCTCATGAACAGCACAGAGCCGTTCAGGTCGGAACACTAGACTGGAGCTGACAACAAACAAAGATTGTTTTCCTCCAACAACAATGCCTCAGTTCATAGATCCTCAGTCCTGCATAAACACTGAACACTAAGCATGAATAAAGTATTTGTGCATACTTCAGTGGTCGAAAAACTTGCAAGTTGCGTGCTTGTATACAACACAAAGGAGTTGTTTTTGAGGTGTGCTTCCTCTTTGGCCCGATCCCAATCTCCACCCTAAAGCCTAAGCACTAAACCCTCGCAGACTTAACTGACGTCACAGCTGCAGGACTTCAGCGTTTGAATGCGTGCAGGCTGGAAGCGGTGCAGAGAAGGAGGAACGGGACGAACCATCAAGACAACACACGTTGCTTGGAAACAAAGCATCGTCGTATTTTTAAAGTGAATGTGCACTCGCGTTTCATTCACAGTTTAATGAGCTGCTGAGTTTATTAAAGCCTGTTTGTGACATTACAGTGTTTAGATATTTTTAGCAAACTACCGAAAGTCAGGAAAAAAACATCTGTGAATCTGACACAAATGCAAACAGCTCTACAAATGTGTAATAAATAACAGTGAAGAGCCAGGCGCCGTCACTAGCAGATAAACTTCCCGGTGTATTTGTTCCGTGACACTATCTGTGCTTGCTTTGTGGAGCTTTCATACGTCACTAATTTCACTATAAACTATTGGCAGGTCCTTTCAGGAAAGCAGGCAGATATGCACGCTCACGGAAAGCCTCGTGCACTGAGCAGGATTGTGCCTCCAAGAGTCCGAGAGTGTGGAAAATGTGGTGGGACGTTAAGGCACCAGCACAAGATGGCCTCCAAAGAGACTTAAGCTCTGTGAGGGGATGGCTGCTACAACATAATGTCTTTTTAATGAGTTTTTCTTTACAAAATGATTAACCTAACTGCCTGTTCTGCCTCTAGCAATGATATAGGGATTAGAAATTAAAGATGTTAAAGACATTTAAAGTAGAGTGTGGTTAATGCCCACCTTCCTACACAAAATGACTGATTGCATTCAGGGAGGGAGTCTGTGCTTTCTAACACTATCAAGTCAATATTTGACCCACATTATTTTTACATCAGTCCTGCAGGACCTAAATCCAGTGGCTTTTTTTCCCCCCTCACCTCGTGTAGCAGCTTTTCCAGCTTCTCCTGCAGCTCAGCAAAGTAGCGGGAAGTCACCAGGCCTTTCTGGGACTTGTCCAGACAGTCTCTGACCAGCTCGACCAACTGGTGCTGGATGAAGCCCAGCACCCCGTCAGCCAGCGGGAGGGAGCTGTCTGGAGAGCAGTGGGTGACAATCTCCAACAAGCGATCCTCCATCTGGGCTGTGGCCTGCACACGAATACAGAGTCAAGACATTCAAGTTAGCAGTAATTATGATTTTTACTCTGCGTGGCACCAAATGTCCAAAGTATTTCTGTGGGTGGATTTCTATGGTCGTAGATCATTACCACTGATTCAACAATTATTTTGCCACCTGTTGAGACTAAGTTTTTATGCCATACTGTCTTGGAACAAGAAAAAAAACCCAACCAACTGTATTTCAAGACGCCCCTGATTCTGCTGTTGTTGCTCATCAGGTGGAATAACAACCAAACTTGGTTTTGTAACTGCTTAACAATGCATATGTGCATCAAACTGAGCAATTCACAGTGTTCGTGGTACAAATATGTGTCAAGTGCAAATGCTAATTCATGTATATTTCATACATACCTTTGGAAAACGTTCTCGGTAAACATGGTTCATCATGACTATCTCATTATCGAAGGAGACGCTTGATCGCCCAGGGCTACGGCAGAAACAAAACAACACATCAGTAATATTTTAACTGATCAACACAGCAACATTTATGAATGCACAAGTCAATGCGTCTCGTCTCTGAGCCATTAAGCTAGGATGGGGTGTGGTCATGGTTACGTAACCGAGGCCATCACGGTTATCTAGAAATGGCCGGCAGTCGAGTCAGTTCAGCCCGACCAAACATACACACATCAACTCTGAACTCACAGTTTGAGTGTAACTGCAAAGGCTTTCTGAGTTCAATCTCTATACTATTTTTGATCTCAGCTTGCCAAAAGCAATATTGCGAGCCAGAATTCGATTTCAGGAGCTCTTAAGCTGCTAAAGCTGCCATCAAGGTGGATTTCACTGGTAGGTTTTGATGTTTCTCTTGAAGACATATCTGTAGCGATAGCAGAGGTTTCTCCTGGCCAAACTGTGTGAATCATCAACATCAATCAATTAGTCATTTACTGCAACACCACCTCAGTATTTAGGCCGATGAGACGGGTGTATTTTTGCAGAAAAACCTTGCTTGATGAAGCTTCAAACGGAACAGATGGAGGGAAAACCTATCACATGCAAACAGACTCCTTAAGCCATTTTTTCTTGTCATGAAAGACGCCTCTGTTTCACCGGATGGCTGCTGCCCAGCACACACTGCTGCAGCTCACCGTGGCTCTTTGCATCAGCCCCCCCACCCCCCTGAGCCAGCCTACCCCCGACTACAGTTCGGCGGCTAGATCCCCGAGGCGCTCTGTTAGCTAGCACGCCCACGCATGGCACACTGTGGTGCCAGAACACGGAGCACCGAGGCATCGCACAAACAGCACAGAGCAGAGCCAACAGACAAAAGTTGTCGAAACCACGCAGCTCTGCAGTCCGATCTCCACCTGCATGTCGGCCAGCAGGCCTGTGCGATCAATCGGAGGCAGTTGAGGCGCCAAGTGCTGTATTTGCTTGTGCATTTGTTTTGTTTAGAGACATCTTGACACCCGACAGCCCACAAATATGTAATGATACGGTGACCTTATGCGCAGTTCAAAACATGCAATTGCTGTCCAAATTTAATCTGGAATGCTCCACAGAGGTACGTAATCCCTTCGGAAGGATTACTGCATTTAATCTGCATAAAAAAATATCAATTTAATTAACTTAATGATGGACCAAGAATCAGTACAGCTTTGAAAGTAATTATTTGACCACCTGGTGTCTTCTTTACAAAATCTATCTTCAAAAGACATGAAGAAAATCTCATATCATTTCAACACATCCAAGAAATTATCTTAAGAAACATGATGTAATAAAAGATTTCAAAATTCACACTAAATGGCAGAAAACATAGTTGGAGTTGTACAGAAGCTCTGGGTGTGCATGTGACGTTAACAGATCATCCAAACTAAATTAACACCCAACGATGCCCAAAAGAGGAGAATTATGAGATGACAGTCATCCTGGTGCTAAACAAAGAGGAATGCGAGCTTGGAAAAAGGGAAACAGCTGTCCATTAGAACGCTTAGAAGAAAACGAAGTATAGCTCCACCAAGAACCGCAAAGGAGGCGGCACGAAGCTGTGGTGGCAGCGGTCTAATGATTATTCCCAAAGCTGCACAAAACAGATGTTTAGACTGCGTTCAGACTGGGTTGTAAAACAGGTGGTTAACACTTCTTAAACCCGCTAACCCTTCTGTCATCTTAGAGTGGCTAAAGTGTAGATATTTAAAAGTTTTACAACTCAAGACGTTTTCTGTCACATCACTGATCACATGATGGGTAAATATGTACCAATGTTTTTGTCTGCATTTTTACCTTTAAAAATAAAAAAAACTGTCAAAGGATGCGACTGATGGTAAGTTTTGAGTCTCGAAAAAATAAAAAAAATGAGGTGACACTGTTGTGTTATTTCAGTAAATTGCAGTCCGCTCCCTTGTGCATTTTTATCACCTACATAAATAAGCATCAAGACAAAAGCTTCTCCCACACTGAAGGCCGACTATTAGGAAGATGCGATCATCGCTATTTGATTTTTTGCTATATTGGGCAGAAACTACCGAGTCGGCACATTTCTCCTTTCATCAATATGTAGCATTACGAAAGAAAAATGAGGCAGGATTAGCTACCTGAGGCTCCGCGACCGAGGCCGTATGACCGGCGAGGGCCGTCCGTCCTCGTCTGTCATGCTGTCTGTGCTGCGGAAGTGTTTGAAGAGGAAGTGCAGCTCGTCTTGCGTTGGCTGGTAGGGCAGCTGGTGAAGACGCTCCTGGGAGGACGAGGACGACTACGGACACAAAGATGGAACCATCAGTCAAGAAAATAGCTTTCAAATATTCCCATGTATTTGTTGGTGATTGAGCCAAAACAGAAGTCACATTCAGCCAACCTAAGATCTTTTAAAAATGACTCTGAATGATACTTTAAATGCTGATAGCGACATTTGTTCAGGTAAATTCAGAAAGTCATGAAAGAGAAACGCCACATTGCTGGTGAGGTTATTATGGTGCTGCAGCTACCTACTTTTACTCGTTCTTTTTATTGTGTTAAAGATTGGAATTATGTTTAACGACCCAATAAAAGTGACTGGTTTGACTCGAGCTTCAAAGGGCCTCACAGAGACAGTAAAAAGCCAGCGACAACATATTTTGGATGCAACACATTCCAACATTTCACTGCAAAGCTACAAAAGACTAACAGCTTCCAACACTGACTGAGCCTCGTTGCCAAGTGGATGATTAGTGAGACCGAGTTAAACCGGTCAGATTTAAAAGGTGCTATATGCGGCAATATGCGTTCATCAAAATCAAGATCACAACTCTGCCTGCTGCCTCCTTTTGTAAAGAGGACATCGCTGCTTGTCTTTTACGTGGCATCACTGCGTTACAGAGGGATAGGTCAGTGCTGCTAAAACCCACAAACACATGCTCAGACAAGTTGGGCAAAGCTGAGGTTGAAACACGGCAGAACAAAACGTATTGTGGCCTCTCAGATTAAGATGTTAATCATTTCCTTGCTGATGATCTAATTTCTTAAATACGTGACGGTTGACTTATTGATGAATTACTCCTTCCAGCAACCAGCATGTGGCTGTTTGGGATTTTCCACTCGCATTTTATTTACTTCCGTCAAACCTGCGCCAACAAGAAGCCAACATAAGCTCCGACTGATAAGAAAATGTGGAGGCTTTCAATGTGCCTCGAATACAAATGAGGCACAGAAATCTAGCAAGTGTGCGAATTTGAGATAATAGTCACAAGCATGAAAAATGAACTGAACGCCAGCCAATTTAGGGACGAGTGTAAACATCATTATCTGCGCAAGTAAGTTATTTTCATGTCTGCTTAGGCCCTGAGTAAACTCGTACAACTGCATGGGGCGCAGTGATTTAAGTTGCCGGCAATCTGTTTAATGTGTCGCGAACAGAAGGGCGCCACAGGGACAGCATCTGTGGAGGCTCTTTCTAATGCCTGCGTATAAAGAGGGCAGTGAAGAGCCCTATTGTCCCCGCTGACCTCTGGGCCTGTGCCCGGGTCTACCCAATAAACTTCCCTATAATAGCTCCACATGGCGGACATTCACCACGGACTTAACACGCTCTCTCTCAAACTGCTCATTTGATTGCCATTTCTCCACATCGTGCGGTATATACAAGACGTCTGATACGTAATATTCCTAAAACCTCAGACTAAATCCTGGAATCAAAATCATTTTTATAAGCTTTACATCCTTCCCTTTGAACTGTGTGTAGAGCAACGTGGGATTTATTGTGTGATGCTTTGTTGAGAGGCAGTCAAAAATCAATGCCACTTTAGAGTATTTAATCTAATAACTTATACAGCGAGAGCACACACACACACACACACACACACACACACACACACACACACTGCTTTAACTCCTCATCAACATGCACACACACACACACAGACTGTATGTATTACTTCTAACACCTAGTTCCACAGACTGGGAGAATGACTCACTGAAGCAGACGATGGAGGAAAACAATTAGCGGTTTGTCATCTCGGTCTTGGCATTCGCTGTCCCTCATTGCATAAACGAATGTGCTATTTGGGGTGAGTGAGGTGTCAGAAATGCCTGGTTGACATGTAATCGACTGGGGAGGACGGTGCCATTTTTTTTTTTTTGGCAGGGCGGGGGGGTGACCTACCGAGACGGTGGAGCTCGGCGGGTTGGTTCCATAGCCAGATGAGGGGAGGGACGCCAGGGACCATCGCCGGCCCTCAGCTCTGAGAGGAAAAGACACGCGTGTTACATAAGCCTCGGCAGCATAGGCATTAGTTAGCATTTCATATGTGCAATTCCTTACATAACAGATGACGGGGGAGTTCTGTGACTACGAGAGCATGAAATTGATGTCTTGTTTTTCTAAATCATATATAATAAGGTTCTCTTTCTCATCACTTGATTCACAGCAGCTCTTTATGTTGTTGCACAATGCCATGCTTTGGAAAACATCAACTCCAAGAGAAGAACATGTAGTGAAAAACAAAACACAAGTTTTCAACAGCAACAGACAGGGGTGAAAGAATATTAAAAGAAGCTACCTGTCAGCGCGAGCCAAGTGACTGAGATCACGACAGCAACAGAGGGAAAGAAAAGAGAAAAAAAAAAACAAGCAAAGAGAGCGTTTCAGTGAGTTTTAGGAGTCTTGCGCAAGTGATCCTGTGACCCCTGGCATTCAACTGAGGGATTAGTACTGACAATGTTGCCTTCCTTGCCAGTTTTCGTTTGGCCAAATACACAGAGTAGATAGCAAACTAAATTAATTTGAAGATCCGTTTTTACATAACAGAGAGAACTCTTGACTTCCAAACATGGCCAGTGGAAGAATCGTGTTACTTTAGTGTCCGTAGATTTTGGAACAGCAAAAGCTTAAAAATCCCAATAGCAGTGATTAAAAGGAGGATTGTATGTTGTTTGCAAGCAGAGGAAACATGTTGCATAAAAATTTAACCCAGGTTGAATGAAAGCACTCACAGGTCCAAGACATTTAGAATATTCTATATATGTGCAGTGACTGAATCAGAAACAACAAAAATGAAGAAACATAAACATAATAAACATGCTTTGAAAAAGGCTAGAAAAAGCTGTAAATCATATGAGCTCATCACAAAAACCTACTTCCCATTAAGCATTTACATGAAATGAACTGGAAAGCTTCAAACTGTTTCTTTCTGTGTGGTGTTGATTCTTTGTGTTGTAGCATCATAGTGATGAACAAACGACCAAAGTGATGCATTTTTAGAATTCTTTTTTTTTTTTTTTTGTCAGCACAGAAGAGGATTAAATGCTAATATGTTTGTCTGTGTCGAGGGGTACTTCTGTGTAGTTAAAAGAAGAAACAGAATCCAACAGACCCTCAACTTTGATGGCTAAATACTCGAGGTTTGCCTTTTTATTGTGTCGGTAAGCTCGACGCTGACGCCGGCAACAATTTTCGCCGAGCAGATGTGTGAGGGATGATGCACCTGAACCGCTCATGAGTTTTTAATGACTGTTCCTGGGTGTCTATAAGGCGCCGCCTCACTTGTAAACTACACATGCCTGGAGCGAGACGAGCGTGTTGCTATGGGAACCAGGTCGAACGATGTGTGAGTGGGCTTTGGGGGTACCCTCGATCTGCCTGCACTCATCCTGCCGAGAAGGAGTCGGCTGTAAGGAGACCTGGCAGAGGGGGGAAGGTGTGAACGCTCCAGGCTGAGGCAGCCTCAGTCACCTGGCTGCTGCTTCACTTCTGCCTCCTCCTGTCTTGCAGACTGTCGGCCTCTGTTCCAGCAACGCACGGCGGATCTCAGGAAACGCTCGGTGTGTGATGGCGACTTACATTTAGTTCGGTCTTTAATTTGTGTTTTGTTCATTTGGGTTCACTTTGTCTAATCTCAACAACAGCTACATCGGCTCAGGAAGCCAGACTCACTCGAGCTGCTTTAATTTTAACGTACAGTCCAAAGCTTGCAGGATTTGACAAACTAAGCCCTGAATTTTCATATAGTGCCCTCAATGTCTATTGTGGCAGGGATGGGAAACAAATAAATAAACCGCAGCTAGTACCTCCAGTTCATGATATTCTTAATCAGTAACTGACAGGGTTGATTTTAGGTACAGAAAAAGTAATTAAAGGATTCTGTTGGTTGGAAACTACATAGTTGGGTTTTGTTCATGTATGAAGCAGCAAGAAAAAGTCTTAAAATCCAACCAATTCCCAAAAAGAAACAGAAATTCATTGAAAACTAAATGCACTGTTCAATTTGTTCAATTTTTAAATTAATTAATCCAAAGTAATTCTGTTGTGATGCAGTTTTTACTCAGACAATGATATGGATGATGATTAAGCTTCTAACAAACTCACTAATAATCAAAGAATTTTTGCTCGGATTTAAATGGATCTTTTATTTGATTTAGTGGCAAATGACATAGCTCTCTGCAAGGGAAGTGCTGGAATTTATAGAACTACAAAAAAGAAAAGAAAAAAAAAAAGAGCGCTACCCTTCATATTAACTGTTCAAATGAAATGCGAGGCAGGCTATAAAATGTGCTTCCATCAATAAATATTTCAATTAAATCCCACTCGTAAGATCCAGCAAACCAAATAAATCAGCCTGGGGGGAAAGAAAAGGATTAATGAAGCTGTGCTGGCATACCTTCGGGCAAATGGAAAGTTGAGGCAGGCATTGGTGGACACATTTCGAGGGCTGTCTAGAGGGCTGCTCGCCGCTGAAAGAGGAAGGACAGTGTTATTACCGCGACTATTCACAACTGTAATAACAAACTTGTGAAAATAGAACAGAGGAAACCACATGGACCGCATTTACGAGTGGAAACTTTCCAAAAACGATGACATCATGTCTATGCAGGAACCCTCAATCATGGCAGACCCGGCGGGATTAGAAACGTCCAACATATCATCTTGGAATTACTTTTCCAAACATCACACCACCAATCTGCGAAAACTCTCGATTCAGGGAGAAGCCTCGTCCTGCTTGGTTTTGCTCGAGCCAGGAGATCTGGGTCCTCTAGAGACTGCGGTTTGTTTATACGCAAGTGGCTGAGTACCCAATTAGAGCCTGATTGCACTCTGTGATTTGCTAATCCTTGACGTGATTGAGTTCAAAAGGGAGCACATCTACATACTGCTGCTATGAGGAGCTCTTGAGCAAAACTCTTTTCATGGAGCGCAGCTGCTTTGTGGCATTAAGGGGCTGTACACTGTGTGTGTGCACAGCTGATTTAGAAAGCAGGAGGATGACACCGACAATTTAGAAATCTCCTGCCCTTCAATTATGTGTACGCTTTGTGAAGACAGATAAAGCGGAAGATTAAAAAAAAAAAAGAGTTTGTGTCCCTCTATAATGAAAATGAAGAGCTCCTCTTGATTTCACCTTAATGTTTTGCATTAACAATAATTTCCCATCTGCAGCACACCCAGCTGACAGTTTCTTCTCTGGCTCGTGTTATATTTCACCTTGATTTTTATCTCTTCTAACCCTGGGCAATTAAAAGCACACTTAAATAAGATTCAGACTCATTATTTCCAACTAAAGATTTTGTGCATTAATAGTTAAATATCACTTGACAAACCACGTGTGTTAAAGTTTAACTGGGATTATGCAGATTTAATTGAGTCAGGAGTTTAGTTAATGGCTGCTGTTTGATAGTAGATGTCCTCTGGGTCACTGAACATGTCTGACATTGTCAACCAGATGCTGGCTTCAGGGCTGCTGACAACTTAAAGCCCCCCTCTCGGGTCATTGATTAAACGAGGGCTGGTCCCAACAGCAATTTCTGTTCTCCGGATATTCGGCCCCAATTAATGATGAATATCCCGAACATTTGGGGATGCCGCGCGGTGGTGGTGGGTGGGTGTTCATTTCAGGGGTGGGGGGTGCGGAGCATTTGGTCCGACGGGGCAGCAGTGAGCGGGCGTTTCCACAGCAACAGCGCGGGGGGGGAGTGGTGTAGTGTAGTAGTATCGGGTCTAGACCTAGATTAAACCCCTAAAAATTCATCTCTGTGTACCAAAACTACTCTTTTGGAGGTTTTTCCATGGAAATAATCCCTTTATGATGTGCCTCCCAGCATATTAAACATCACATGGATGCGTTAACAAAGTAAATTTCACCAGAGAGTTGGAAAATCTAAATACTGTACTGGTGACCATGTGGGAGAGCCCTATAGCTTATAAATAATAATGTGCTCAGCTGATCCTTGAGCAGCACACTGACATCTTTACTCGCAGCTGAATTAAAAGTCATTTAATATGTTCAATACGATCAAGGTCTCTACCTTCTAACTCTAAACAGCTCCAGAGATGTGACCTTCTGAAGGTCTAGAGCTGGCAGTGAGTTCACGCCAGTCGATGTGAAATCATACAGATCATTAAATAAACAACAGCACCGTTCAAACTTTCCTTCTGACTTCTTCATATCAGAGACTTTATGGACTGAATACAGATAGTTACTGTTCGCTCGCATCTTTAATGCTGTGTTCCGCTCCCTTGTATCCCTCAATTGATTTTTTATGGTTGTCTGTGCAGAAGTTTTCTCCACCGTATTTATGATGATGTTTCGCTCATTAGTGCTCGGTTTAAGTCGTTTTCTCCTGGTACGATGACAAATTTGATAACTAATTTACCCTGAAGTGCATTTTATGCTGTAAAGTCGCGCATGCTGCGATGCATGGGGCTAGCTGGGGCTGCATGTTGGAAAGCAGTGATTCACCAACGTGTGACTTGTTATATTTATCCATAGATGTTGCACATTAGGAGGAGGTAGTTCTCATGTTCCTTTGCTGGGTTTATTAATTTCAGAGACTTCCATCCCCTAACATCCATTATGTTTAACCCTCTGTGAGTCTGCATTCTCTGACAGGAGCTCTGTCAACATCGATCATCCAGAGAGTCTCACAGGGCGGAGGCTCGACAAACTGAGATACGAATCATCAGAACTTTCAGAACAACAACAGGATGCAGAGATTTGTGACTCTGGCGTTGCGCTAAAGTGGCAGACTGACATATGCACAGCTAATCTGGGGGAGATTGTGATTTAGGTCGCGGTTTGTGTTCCAAGTTCATGCCTCACGACTCCAGTGTAGACGTGCAAGTAACCGAATAAGAAAAGACACCTGAGGATGTGCATGACTGTATCAAATACTGATAGAGATCTGGCTGAAACTGAAGCAGTGCGTTGACACCAGGGTAGACATGCAAAAGAGCACCGAATGTGGAGTCAGACTGGTGCATCAAAAGCAGAACAACACAGTCCAAGAGCGCACTGATGTGGAGTTATTATTAGACGGCACAAGAAAACATGAAGTTTGAGGGTTATGCTAAAGCGAAGGCACCACACTGCACATCACACTTCTGTTGAACTGCGGCCGGCACTAATCCCCTCCTTCACCTCAGCGCTTGTGAAATAATATTCAAGCAAGCACAACAAGGTATTACAGCTGCAATCTGCGCTTTCATCTATTTCGGAGGTCAGCGCGTTGAACGTTGAAGGAGATCTTACCGGTGTGGAAGGAGAGCGGCGAGAGCGGCCGTGACAGCGTGGGTGAGGGCGTCCCGACACCGAGGCTCTTCCTGTTGCTGCTGCGACAGCTGGAGCACAAACAGGAAAAGACAGAAGTCAACAGTCTGCCACCCTGATTACACATCATTCGTCTCATTTTCTTATCACAGTTTGTATGAAACGGTTTCAGTTTGCATACTGAGCGACGTGTATTTTAAGCAACCACGAGCAACGACAACACTTGAAATAAATAATCTCCACATAGAAAAGGGTATTTATTAAAGAGTGCATGGATCTGAAATTTGAAAACTTAATCACTTTGACAGATGCAGTAAGTTTCAGATGAAAACAGCGGGTTATCTGAGCTACGCAGGTGTATTAGCGTGTTATCTTGACAATACGGTTACAGTGTGATGCATTCACTGCCCACTCCCTGTGCACTGCACCGCCTCATTTCTCTTCATTAGGTTTCCAGCAAGCTGCAACTAGAAGTTCTCACACTTGACGTTAGCACAGAGCAATGTTTAAAAACCAAATGCTGGGAACACACGGTTACCTCCAGTGTTTCCTTTCATCACTATCGACTGTTAAGATGAACGAGACATTGAGTAACCCTATTTGTGTTCGTTTAAACAGTGTAAACGACATGCTTGACTCATTGTCGTTATAATTAAGTATGTGTTAATGTGTGTGTGTGTGTGTGTGTGTGTGTGTGTGTGTGTGTGTGTGGAGCAGCAGCTTGCAGACACAAAAGCCTCGTGGCAGTCGGCAGATTAAGGCGACACTTGACCTCTAAAGCAGCAGACTGTTATCCTCTAGAGCAGCGCTTCTCAAACTTTTGGAGCCACGACCCCCAAGATAACACAAGTTTGTGTTCATGACCCCCTCAGTTTGAATTTTTAATTATCTCATGAGTAATAACTTTGTTGTTCATGCATTAATGTGTTAAAAATGAATGTGTTGACTCCACAGATTCATCTCTTTACATTAACACGTTGATTTTCTTTTGAATGAATGAATTTATTTCGAACAAATGTAAGAGAAAAAAATATAAAAACAAAAGAAAATAATTTTAAAAAGAGCAAAAAAGAATAATAATGTCGCATAATCAAATCATAATATTAACATGTCCAAAAAAGTGGTGGGAAGAAGTACACACTTTTATATTTGACAGCCCTAACACACATTTATTTGATAAATGTAGGCTTTATTTTATTTTATTTTATTTTTTGCAATGATTAGGCGACCCCCTGACATTATCTTGGGACCCCAATGGGGGTCCCAACCCCCAGTTTGAGAACCACTGCTCTAAAGCTCTGACTGTTGTGGAGCACAGAACAACACCAAAACACGTCTGGTTTACCTAAAACTATCTAGATTTTTAAATCCTATAAAACATTTTCACAGATATTTAACTTGTACTTTTCATTTTGACTGCGTTTCAGAACATCACGTCTTTTAAGCGGAGACGCAATTTAGATTTTTCAGCACAGTTTTTACTTTTTTCCGACTCATTTAAAAGCCGCCGTTTGCCGAGAACAAGTCATCACTCACTCTAAAGACAGGTTTGTGACAGAACAGGGGCACTGATTAGAGGAGAGGGAGAAAAATGCGTTTAGTTTCATTCCATTTCAAACTTAGTTATTACATTTACAAACTGGATCGGTAGAGGTGGTTTTCGACAGACCTTTCTCCTACGCTGCAACAAATGTACTGTTGAGACAGGTCTTCAGAAGACTATTTTTGACTCAGAGTGTGAACCAGCAGACCTTCACTTGGAGGCTGCAGATTTGAGCAGATTTGAGCAGATAAACAATGCACGGAGATCCAGAACTAAACACATCCCTGCTAATCTACACTGTGTTTACATATTCTACTCTGCTGCAAACGACTATTTTTATCATAATTTTTTGAAGAATTGTTTGGTTTACGATGCTGCGAGGAGTCCAAGGCGACGTCTTTAGATCTTTCTTGTTGCTTAAACCAGTGGTTCTCAAACTGGGGGTCGGGACCCCCATTGGGGTCCCAGGATAGTTTCAGGGGGTCGCCAGATCATTGTAAAAAATAAAAATAAAAATAAAGCCTACATTTATCAAATAAATGTGTATTAGCGCTGCCAAAATTAAAATTGTATACTTCTTCCCACGCCTTTATTTTAATATTATGATTTGATTCTGCGACATTATTATTCTTTTTGTTCTTTTTAAAATTATTTTCTCTTGTTTTGTTTTTTTTTTCTTTTCATTTGTTTGAAATAAATTCAGTTCATTCATTCATTTAACAGAAAATTAACGTGTGAATGTAAAGAGATGAATCTATGGAATTAACACATTTATTTTTAACACATTAGTGCCTGAACAACAAAGTTATCACTCACGATATATTAAAAATTCAAACTGGGGGGTCACGAACACAAACTTATGTTATCTTGGGGGTTGTGGCTCAAAAAGTTTGAGAAGCGCTGGCTAAAACCAAAAAGATTTTTATTTTACTATTAAATATGACAAAGAGCAGCAAATCCTGACAATGCTTTAAAAAAACAATGCTGTCAATCAAGCTAAACATAAGTCAAGGTGAGCCTTCACCATGGACACGATTACCAGAATACTGCTTCGGATTTCAAGCTAAATGCATCCCACAGGTAACGGATGGAGACTTTCAGATTTGCAGAACCATCCAGAGCACTGAGGAGGCACGAGCGCTACAGACAGGACGACATTATCCACTGCAAAAGTTCCTGAAAATTCCCTGGACGCTTTTTTCACGGTCTAGCACAGACGAGGATTACGATACTCAGCGTGGCCAACTTCTTCATCTCTGCCCACCGAGATTTAACTCAACCAAGCGAGATTATTTCCGCCTTCAGAGCCGCTCTGCCTTGAGAAATGTTTATGTAACTACAACTCTAATCTGCAGGCATGACACATCAGCATGGCCGTGTCAGATGAAGACTGACGAGAGCCAAAACACAAAAGAGGAAATCTCCTGTCAACAGACTGCAGGCTGAAGAAAAACTGGGGGGGTGTGGACGGCAACAGCAGGCCCAGCTTGAGACACAGATGTCCAAGATAGTGTGTGTTTGTGTGTGAAGAGAAGGAGGGAGCGCTTAAAAAACACCCTGAAACTTGAACCACTCAAATGAGCTTGTCTTAAAGATGGCATCAGCGTAAACGACTGACAAAAAGTGCTGAAATTATGAAATCAGCAATTAATTTTTTACAGCAAAAAGTCCAAAGTTGTCTAATGAGAATCTTTGATGTTTGAGGATGTCGGACTCTGAGGACTTGTGATGGGTATTTTTCAGAGGTTTAATCAAGAAAACAATCTGCAGATGGACTGATCAAATAATCGCTGGTTGACGCAACGTTTTTTGGCATTTCTTCCATCTTATGGTAAAGGTTGTGTACTGCTGGTTGGACGACACAAGCGATCCCCAGACCTTTACCTGTGGGAGACCGCGAAGGGCTTTTTAACCTATTTTCTTTTCACAGCATCGATCAAAGCTGACGATTAAAAAAAATATCTCTGCTCCATCGTGCATAGAGCCCACAGCCTGCATCAGACAGTTAACAGGTTTTATCTGCACACATCTGACAGTAAACACAACACAGGGTGACTCTATGACCTCCAGTCAAGTCAACCAGCAGCCACCAGTTCAAACAGAGAAGCCCAGATGTGTTTGCCTCCATGGAAAAGCCCAAACTGTGATGTTGTTCTCAGGTTCATGTGCCAACTGCAGGCTGCACACTTTGCCTTTGTCCATCCAGACCTGCTGTGATGCGTGTTAACAAAGGAAACTGTACACTGTCAGCTCCTGCCTCTCACAACATTGATTCTTTTTTATAGCAAATACTTACTGTAAACTGCATTCAGAGGCTTTATGTTTAAAAGCGTTAGACTGAACCAACACGGCGGGATTAACGTTGAACCAAGCGGCTTTCTGAGCAGCTAGCTTATGCTGGGACCGTTTTTTAACCTTAAATAAAACAAGCCAGAGACCGAACCGGCAGCAGCAGCGACTAGTAAACTCACATCACGCAGTATTTTAGCCCAACATGAGCTTTGGTGTTAATTTAAACTAGTTTTAACCCCCGTATCCCAACTCCTGGTAACTACCTTTTGGAGCGCTTCAGCAACGCTCCCGGAACAAAATGGGACTTGCTGTGGCTCGGTACCGCAGACCAGTGGCTCGGATCCGACATGCTGGAGGATTTTGTTGGGAGTTTCGTGTTGGTTCTTCAGTAAAGTGGGCTCGACGTGAAGCCCGCTGGTCCCCCCGGTGCCGGTACCGCCGCCGCCGCAGCTCGTCTCCCCACCATCGTCTCCTCGCGCGCGGCGGGCTCCTTTTGTTTATTCGCTCCTAACGGCTCCGCTGCTGCCTTCACGTCCTCCGCTCCGCCGTCTGCCGTCTCCGGTGCTGTCCCCGGAACGTGAGCTCCATGGCGGGTAGGAGAGGGGGTTGTTCAGGTGTGTTAACGCCGTCCACAGAGTAAGAGCAGCGGCAGACTTTAGTTGGTCCAAACAGTGGCTGCTGGCTGCGTGTCTGCCCGTGTGAGGAAGCTGGAGTCTGATGCTGCGTTCAAGGGCTGCTCGGTAAACTTCGCTTACGCACTGCTGAGAAACTGCCGGAGGGTTTGGAGCCGCAACTAATAAATGTGTTTATCACTGAATTAGCTGACTGTGAGTAACCGCGTGACACAGTTTCTCCAACAAATTGCTTTTCATCCAGATATATTCAAGTTGACTTATATAACGAAGAAGACTTTAAGGAATTTAATAAAAGTTCTGAAATCAGTTTTATGTTCAGCGAAAACTAGTTGATTCTGACCATAAATTTGTAAACACGACAGCAGACTTGGAAAAGAAGCTACGAACACTAAAACATTCACAAGATCTATACAATCATCTTAAAATTCAAGGTGGGCATCCAAGGCTAGCTTCACCAAGTCCCACCAAATCTGAAATATGGTCTCCTGTTCCTGCTGATAACACACTGCCAGGAAAGTTGTTTTGCACCACTTTATTGCCACACAGTGACACTGACCTTTGGGATGTGAAATGTGGTGATGACGTCATTTTATCCTATTAGACATTAAATAAATGATTAACATATAAATCCTTGAATTAAGGCCACCGACATGTTTAATGAGGTCACAGTGATCATTGACCACAACCTCATCAGTTCATTGTTGAGTTCAAATGAACACTTGTGCTAAATTTGAAAAGAACTCTTACATTTTTTCCTGAGATGTCAACAGACGGACCACTCATAGACATAACACATCCTGCCACGGCTAACCCTAACCCTGCCATTTCATCTTGATTAACGACTTGTGTTTGATCAGGTAGCAGAAATTGGCTCTGCAAATGTTCAGAGGAGTCCTGGCCTGCAAACAAAGCAGCCTTTTGATTTGTTTTTTCTTTTTTTGGTGATCAGTGTCACTTGTTTGACTGTCTGCTTTTTAGTCAGCAAGATTATGCCCAAACTACCTGGCCAAGTTTAATTAAACTGAGTGGAGAGGTGCACATGAAGAACCTGGTACATTAACATGACGCCTTCTCTGAGTGCTTTTAAGTTTTGGCCTAAAACAGTTTTTGGAAATATGCAATATATGATGAAAGCATGACTTAAACCTGCTGACATTTTGAACACACTAAAGGTGCAGTACAACTGGCACTTTATTTGTATGTTTACAGGGATTAGACTTTTTGATTAATAGGTGATATATTCGTTACTATTCTTTAATTAAAGACCACTTTTCATCATCCACGTTACAAAGTGCTTTACAAGGGACAGACGAGTCCATAATTATGAAATCATCAAGTTCCACATGAGTTAGCCGACGATACAAGTTTTCCTGTTGTTAAAAGTCAAATCTTTTTTTTTTTTTTTTTTAAAAAGCTGCTCAAAATAAAATAAAATAAAATAACCTTGCTTACAGAATTCCATACAAACCTTATGAACGTTGTGCAAAGATGCTACAATGCACTCATTGAATCAATCCATTGGTTATCGGATTGATTAACCACATGATGGTTTCACGCGAGTTATTTACGGTGTGACAACTCTCGTGGTCGATGCGGTATCAGTTTGCTTCGAGTGCAGCTAAAGACAGCAACAGACTGCTCCGGTTACACAGCGAAGGAGAGCGACAAACTGAGACTGCTGAAGATTGTAGGAGTGAAACTCCAAACCAACCTGCTAAAACCTCAGCATAGTTGGCCTGTAACCCCAGTTTACATCCTGACAGTTTATAGCCTAAGTTAGTTTGACAGCAAACGTCCCTGGTGTTCAGCGGGGTCCCTCTGTGGGTTATTACCCCGCTGTGGGAGGCCATATTTACTGTTCACAGCACCGTAGTTACAAAAAGGTGGCTGTAAACAGTGATGATCCGAGCAGGAGAGTAGGTAGGTATCGCTGGTATCCTTTTGGGTCCAATCATTTATAGTGATTTGTAATTAACTTGATTGTTGATAGCAATTTAACCTTTTGTCATATGTTTTTCTTTTCTATTGGAGCCTATAGTGTCTTTTCTGGGCAGTAACTGTCTCACTGATATTATGATGCATTCACATGATCATTAAACCAACAAACCCAGTTATATTTTGCACAAGCCTTTCATGTGTGAATTTCACTGCTTGACCTCTCGTGAAATTCTTTTTTTTTGGCTACAAGGACCCCTAAGAATATTATAAAAGCAACTTGTGCATTCAGAAAACAGCATTATGTTTCAAGACAAACCTTTATTGACAAACCCCTGCTGTAGTGTTCAGTTGTGCTGTCAGGCTTCACACTATTTGCTCTATAAGAGTCTGAACAACTGCGACACAAACTTTTTTTCAAGCTCACCTCCGTGGTCACGCTTCTGTTCATGCCAGCTCGAGAATTTCCTACAGAACCTGAAGGCAGCGTAAGATGCTGTTGGGTTATACCATGAGGAGCCTCCTAAAGGGAGGCAAACTTTGACACAGTGGTACGTTCCATTACATAAAATATCTCTAGTTTTTTTGTGTTTGGCTGATCAGAGGGAACGTGGGGTTCTGTAGTAGTGACTGCAAATGCAAAATTAAATATTTTTAAAGACTTGAAGTATTTCTCTAGACTCCAGATGTAACGAGCTCCAATTTAAGTGTAAAGAATGAATAATTTAAAAAAAAAAAGAAAATACATAATGTGTAAATTAACATGAAATTGATTTAGACAGTATTTGATAGTATTTGATACGTCTTTTTCCTTTTCTTTTTTTTTTTTTACAGTCAAGTAAATAAAATCCTTTGCTGAGCTTTTATTTTGATATTTTATTGCCGTTAGTGATTTGTTTTAAGGAATTTGAGAGTTAATTTGTTTATTTAGCATCAGAATGCTGCATGTACATACGATCTATGTTTCAAATCTGGTCTTTCTTTTTTAATGAATCTTAGTTTATTTTATTTTTTTTAGCTTTTATATTGTGAATAATCACTTCTGTCGACTTTCTTGATGATTAAAAAAATAAACTTTGTTATAAATTGAAGATGTAAACTCAGAGATCTTTCCTTTAGTGTCTCCTCGGGATCGTACAGATTTGTTGAGCTGTATAAAGTCATCTTTTAGACAGCCTACCAGCTTTACAGTTTACAAAGGATCTTTATTAGAGACAATCACTCGATTAGTTGTCAACAAGTACATTAATCACCAACTATTTTAATAAGCAAATCATTGGTTTTAGTCATTTTTGTCTGAAAAAATGTAAAAATTCTCTGATTCCAACTTCTTTAATGTGATTATTATCTGGTTTCTTTCTTCCTCTACGACAGAATATGCACAAAACAAGACGTTTGAGGACATCATCTCTTGGGAAACACTAATCGGCACAAATTAACATAGCGATAAGTAAGAGCTATAGTCTTTGTGTGGTTTCTGTTTGAACTCTCTCGTATATTTTAGACAAAGCAAAGTCCAGCAAGAAAAACAACAACCTGGTGAAATTGAAGGTGCTGCTTTCACACTACACTCAGATCATAGTTGCTTTTATTTTCACCTAAACTAGAAGGTTGACGCAGACATACACTGTATACACCTTCGTTCTTCTGTTTCCATTAAACTGTTTATTTTCTTTTCCGTCCTTTGTTTGCAGGGTGTGTAGGTGTTTTAGTCATTCCTCTTTTGAAAAGTTTCACCTTTTAAATGTCTTTTTCTTTTTTAGCTCACTTCTTCTTATCATTATTGTAAGTCTGAGTTTGACGTCATTTTGGTTTCTCATCAGATTCTGAATTCAGTTCAAACTCTCCTCAGATCTGCACCGTCAGTCAACTCTGAATTATTTCAGCTCTGACAGGTCGATCTACCAACATTTGCTGGTTATACCTCAAACCAAGAATATAAGTTCTGCATTTTATCAGTCGTCTGCATTTTTTTCAGAGTATTTTTTTCATTCTATTCAAAGTAATCAGTATTTTTTTAACACATTTGCACTGTGCTCAAGAGGACTCAAGTCTAAAATGCGTTACATTTTCCTTCAACATGAATCCTGCACCTGATGCCAGGCAGGTATTTGTCACATCACTTGCAAACACGCATCAGTAACGTCAAGCCAAGCTGCTGATGCACATTCATCAGTGTCTAATGTTGATGCAGGGAATTAATTTACTTGCATACAAATCTGAAATCTGATGCAAGAGAATGAGCATGTTTCTGGATGGTGAAACAACACGGCGGGGCTCTCTGATGTAAAATGGTGAGAAAAAGAAAAAAAAAGACCAAACCAGAAAACAAGCAATCTGTCACACTGTGGAACCCGATTACACCGGCGTGAGACGGAACCCACGTTTAGTGTGACTGCGAGAGATTTGTTTGCATTCCCAGTAAATTCTGCTCATTTCTCCACAGAGCAAATGAGATTCATTACTGCACTGTGTGTGGTGTGACAGCCTCGCACTGCTCACACATCCGGAGACATGCTGGATGCAGCCGCCTCTGTTTGCAGTGCTGCCTTCCTCCACAGCACCCAGCACCATTGCCAAGCAACCCACCTAGACTTGGAGACAACTAATAACTGATAGGTCTTCACTGGTGAAACAGAAGCACCCCGATATACGAAAAAAAATTAAAAAACAAACCCCACAACTCTGACTTATTGCACATTTCCCCCTTTCACGAGGGTATTTCCATCATTATTTCACACTTTTAATGATCTCACACTGTACAAACCATCACAGGAACATCATCTGGTTGGTCTAGTTCTACAATTGTTGTTGAATCTGGATTTTAAAATGTTTTTTTTCCCAAATAGATTGGATTTTGACGTCGCACTGACCCAGTCTACGCTGTATCTCTACAGCTCGATGCATAACGTCATGCCAGCCTGGTTGCATCTTTGTTCATTTTGTAGCCTGTTTTTAAACCGTGTCTTCAAACGATTATCAGAAGGTACATTTAGTCGCTGCTTGTGGGGGCTTTGACTGTATTACATAATTAGATCATGTGATAGGAAGAGCAGCTGATAAATGGATGTTGAGATTGTTTAGCCAGCTACTGCTTCTAACATCAAGAACTGATTTTTTTTTTTTGTACTAAAACAGAATAATACAAACTGTGTGACCAAAATCCTCGGTGCTTTTGCCAATTGAAGGAAATTTCCCTGCCTTGAACTGCTGTCATCAGGCAAACGTTTCATTAAAGGAAGAACCTCCAGACTGATCAACAGCTTCGTGCCACAAGCTGTCAGAATGCTGAACTGCTGATCCAGATATGCAAAACCTTGTCCCTCATCTTGCCTGTACTACTGTGTACAGCAAAATGACAAAAAAATGAGTCATAAATGTATGTTGTTTGTTTTATATAAAGATTAACAGACATGCAGGACTGTATATGTGTAACTGACTCAGAACAAACCTCACCGATGTGTTTTTCAGCGGATTCTTGGAGGAATAAACTCCATCAGGCTACAAAGACAACACCTTTGTCGAACTTGTTTGAGTGTGACCTGGCTGCCTTACCTCCAGGGATGAAGGGTTTGTAAGGGGCTGCAGGGGCTGCAGGGGCTGCATGGACTCAGGAGGGTGGGGCTCTGGCATGTGGGTGATAAACTGCAAGGCAAGACATGGACGCATGAATTAGTGGGCTGACTCAGCAACTTGGCACGCCAGCGTCTGTCATCTGTCGGAATCACAGATCTGGTCTTGGGCTAGACCAGGCTGAAGCTTCTCTCTGCCTCATCTCACCAGCTGATGGTGACAGACTCTCACCAGCTGCAGGGTGTCGGTCCGTCTGTCTGTCTGTCAGTCAGTCTGTTACTATTGTTTGCTACAGGGCTGCTGGATGCATCACTGGGTGCATCTGATTAGCTTCTAATCTCATGTGAACTCTTACGCAACGAGAGGTCATCGGCTGAGTGTGGACACACGAGAGAGGAAGTCCCAGCACACACTGAGCGAACATCGAATGACACATGATGTTATGATGCTGATGAAGGCTTCAGACGATCACGAACAATACGCGCTGGGTTTCTGTGCAGCGAACACACTCAATCCTGACATTTTAAATCAATATCATCCACCGCTTCACACCTCAGTGCATCATTTCTGCATCCAAATATGCACGCTCAGCCCGCTCGGTCGCCCTGAAGTCTACATCTCACTGATGCTGACCCAGCATACGAGCTTTTTTTTTTTTTCCCCTATTGATTTCACTGCTCAGATGTAAGCTCTTGCCTTACGGGCTCCACAAAGCTGCTATTGTCTCAGTCCTGCAGAAGCTTCTCAGTCCTAAACGCAGCGCTGGCTACCACAGCACTAATGAACGTGTTGTCATAGTAATGCAAGGGAGGATGGCAGGAAAAACAACTCGTCGCACAAAGACTCCTCATTTTCTGTGGTGTCGGCTCATAATTATACAACACATGCAAGTCATTACGCTGCATTTCATGTTGACACACCTTCTCCAGACCCCTAAAACAAAGCCCTCGACGGTGCTCGAGTGAGTAATCGCCTGTCATTTACGTGTTGCTTTTCCATTTTGCATTTCTATTGCATCTGCGATTCAGAGACACTCCTGTTCCACGGCATAAACTGAGCAGAAACTCGGGATTTCTGACTGTCTTTAGTGCAAACATTAGTTTATTGTAAATCAGTTAAGAATCAAACCCACAATTATCAGCTTGTTCAAAGATATTTTTTACTTTTTCTTTCTGAACTGTCAATAAGAATCATAAAATAGGACCTTAACTTTAAGACACTCCTCCTATGTGTGTTCATTAATATACTATTTCTTGAAAGCTGCTTGCAGAGCACATTCCTCAGCAACAAATAAGCCTGAACAAAAACAACTTGTCTGGTTTGCACTACTGCTATTGGTTCGGTGAGCGTCTCCATCGTGCCATCATTAAGACCCCGAACCCCTCCCTGCTCGCCGAGAACGAAGCCTCCTCCGTATCCCTGCAACAGAAGCCACAGAGTGCCTAAAAATGAAAATGAAGTTAAAAAAAAAAAAACCAGCGCATGCTCAGCCGAGGTGGTCCACGGAGGAGGCAGATGGATGGATCAGAGAGTGAGGATGTGAGCAGGGAGCTCCTACGCCTTATGGATCAGCATCCAGTGGGCAGCAGGTACTCCCCTCCCTCCCCACCTCCCCTCATACCAAAACAACACTACAGTCACTCTGGAGGAAGAGTGGGCGGCCAGAAGACTGCAGCCATGTCCTTTGATGAAGACAGGAATCAGAGGTTAACAACAATAAGGAAATAAAGTAACCACGAGTCTGTGATTCATGCAGGAACGGTGGAGTGAGGGTGAGATTTTTAAAAAAAGACACGACAGAGGCATAAGTAAAAAATCATGAGGACAGAATTTGCTCTGAGGCATGAGCTGCACCTCTGAAACATCTGATTAAAGCAGAAATAAAGATCTGAAGCAGTGCTGAGGAACTGGAGGAAGTCATCTCACTGATGTTTGAACCGCCCACAAAAAAACTTCACAACATCTTTACAAGTTGTGTCAGTAGTTTGGTTTTACAAGTTTCATCTGCCTGTGTAAACACAGATCCAGGTCAAGGCTTGGAAAACTCCACTTCTTCACTTTGAGTTTAAAGATTAATAGCCAGGCAGCAGCAGCAGTGCCATCAGAAATCCTGGCTCCAGATCAGACACCTGTAACTTCTCCGGCTTCCTGACTACAAACACTCGTCGTCAAAATACAACAACAAACTGGAAACAAAATGAAAATGTCACAACCCGGGTAGAAAACAGGAGGGATTATTTGCATTTCCTCCAGGCTCAGATGGCTGTTTCGGTGTCGCAGCTTTGGTGGTAATTGCTGGTTTGAAGTGCAGCCACTTTGCATTGCGTTGGAGTCTTTTCACATGAGCGCATAAATGTCATCCTTTCACTCTCACTACAACTTTAAAAGGACGCCGGTTTCACAGCAGGTTGTGGTTTTTACACCTGAAACTAGGAGATGAAAAAAAAATGTTGAAAAGAAAAAAGCAGAACTTACTCCAGAGTCAGAGAGGGGATCTTCAGTTTATCTCTCCTCGACTTCATTGTCGCTTGAACGCCAGTCTGGAGCTCCACTTCACCACCGCGTAACGCTGCTCGCTCTCACGGCCGGCATCCAGCCACTCATCGCTGCCGTAGGCGACTAAAAATAACCCCGTTTAACCAAGTATCGTTTACCAGCGGATTCCGGGGAGACCTTCCGCTGGGGGATAGAGGCGATAAAACGCAGCTACACCTAAAAGGAAGTGATGCGCACCCGGCGGTGGGGTTCAGCTTCGGAGTCCGTCGGCGAGGCACACCGGAGAGCGAGTGCCACAAAACCGAAGGGAACGACGGGTCACCGCTAACCTCCATGTGACTAGTGGGAAGGGAGGAAGGGGGGGAGGAAGGAAGGAAGGGAGGGAGGGAGTGAGGGAGAGAGGGGGAGTTGATCGGAGGGGAAGGGGGGGTGGCCAAATCAATTCGGGCGGTGGGTGACAGCGAGCAGAGGAGAGGTTGGGTGAGGACGGTGGGTGTGGTGTGGGGGGTAAGAAGTTGGTGTTGTGACTGAGATGTGGTTTCTAAACCTGATGATTCTGGTTCGTACTCTCATTTAGAGGATGTTTGGTGACCACACAGGCTGCAACATTCTCTTATGTTTCCGTTCCATGTGCGCGTAAAAACCAAAATCCGACTATTATTTATTTTTTTCTTTAAATGCTTCATCCATAAATCCAGTGTTTCTCTGCGTCCTCCCAGGCAGCGCACAGAGGTGTGAGCAGCAGCAGGCTGGGGAATACCTCCGCTGGAAACCGTGACAGCTGCCACACGAGACGCGTTTCTCACCCTTTGCCTGTTGGTGCATGTGCGCCGAGACTCTGCCCTGCGAGCCTTTATTCACTGCCTGTGTGCGTGTGTGTGTGTGTGTGTGTGTGTGTGTGTGTGGTGGTGGTGGTGGTGGGGGGGAGCCATTAATTGCGCGGACAAAGTCGATTTCCCCCGAGGAGGCAGGCAGCCGTGTGCACGTGGACGTGCAGAGACCGGCTGTGTGTAACTAAAATCACATTTTTGGAGCATCGGTGTTTATTCAGAGCTCCTCGGGGTTTGCGCGCACGTGTGGATCGAAGGTTTGAACACGTTTCTGCAGCATGCTTGAAAGCAGATTTCCCAAACATGTGGCATCGCTGTGTTTTATATATATATGTGTGTGTGTGTGTGTGTGTGTGTGTATGAGTGGATGTGTGCTTCCAAGTGCATGCTTCAAAGTCGATTTTCCTGTGGGTACTTGTACTGCAGGTGGTTGCTGTGTGTGTGATATCCAGCAACTGCGCACTCTAAAGTCAATTGTGAGCGTCCAAACTGTAGGTTGTGTGTGCCTGTGAGGATAGTTGGGGGGTATATTGGCACTATTTGCACCTCAGCTTGGTTTCTATGGAATGTTTGCATGATCACACCAGTGTCCTCCTGGTTGCTAGGGAGCTGGTGATGAGTGACTGGTTGCTAGGACATGAGCTTGACCCAAGCACAGCAGCAGTAACCAACCAGTTATCCTCTCACTCGCTCACACACACACTCACATGTATGTTATTGATTGTCTTCCTCGGTGTGATTGACATGACAGGGCACTTGTTAGTAAGCTGCCTCTTTACTGTAGGAATCCTGTAGTCATTATTATGGATGCTCAACATTATCCTTCTTTTGGATTCATGTTTTTATTTTCGTTTCACCTGTCGCTCCCTCTCTCCACTCATGTTTGTTCTGCTCCAGTCTGTGTGTGTCTGTTTCCACTGTCGGTCAGATCAGAGCCAACCTGTGGTCGAGTGGGTTGAGTGTTGTTGGGATGGACCGGAGCAGAGCCATGTGTGGAAACAGACACACACAGATCAGCCCAAAACAGAAACAGCTGTGAATTCAAAGCAGAGTTGAACCTCAAAACTAGGCGTTTATCAGTTATCGGGATATTATGCACTTCCAATTATCAGTGTCATTATTTTTTTGTCTTCAAATTAATTAATTTTGGCTTGTAGCTCTGTGTCTGTAGTCACTCTGGCAGCCACAGATTACTTCAAAACAGTCGCAGGAAAACAGTAACGATAATAAGATATGGTGGGAAATAAAAGTGATAGAACAAGATTTGAAAAACAGAGAAAATTAGCAGAAGAAGTGCAAGAGAAAGGGAAACAAACAGCTATCAATCTCGCAGTAATCACAGGAAAGCGTCGTAGCATCACGTGACGTTCTGTCGCCGTCACTTCTATTGTGGTTGCACATTTTCAGCTACGGTAATCATTATTAATGAAGAAGTCTAGCTATGAATGATACGGCGGCTGACGGGAGCAAATGACGTGCACATACACAAATGAGCTGCATGAATGTGTTGCTTAAACAGAGACGTGCTGCAAAAGAAAAAGCCACACAATGGAAGTGCCCCAGGCCTCTAGGGGCAGTAGTGAGCTTTTCACCTGAGAGGCAGACAACAGTGAGCAGATGAGTAACGTTAGTTGAGTTAATTGATGATTCTAAATTGTCTGTAGGTGTGAATGTGAGTGTGCTTGGTTGTCTGTCTCTAAGTGTAGCCCTGTGATAGACTGGTTACCTGTCCAGGTGAACCTGCCTTCACCCTGAGTCAGCTGGGATAGACTCCAGCCTTCTGCAACCCCAGTGAGGATTAAGTGGTGTATAGATAATGGATGGATGGGTTACGGTTCGGTCATTGTCACTTTTCTCGCAGCGCATTTCTGTCACAACCCCGACGTCCGCCGTGTCCGAAGTGCAAGGACCCGTCCAATGCCGCTTGCGGCTTTAACTGTGATTTTTTTTTTCCTTCACATTTTTGAACATTTTACTGTTTTTTTTTGTTTTTTTTTTGAGGGGGGGCATTTTTTTCCCCTGGAAATTTAATGAATCATCCGGCACCATCCTGGACAAACACCCTCAACCCCAAACACATTTGTTTCCGTCCCTCTGACATGCGCTGGGCCTCCAACTTACTCTGTGTTCACGCTGTCAGACTGAATGAAGCAGCAGGAAGGAATCCACCTTCCACTGACGTTAAGAGCCGCAGCGGCCGTTCAACGCAGCACGCCTTCCTAGGTGGTGGTTTTCAAATCACAAGTCATTTGCTAAATTGCATCATGTGAATGTTCAATCAGAAGCAATCAGTTGAACCATTTCCAGAAATAACTTATTAAAGGCCAAGAATCCCGTGAAAAGAGAAGCAAAGATCCTTTTGTGCACACTCTATAAGGTGATACCAAAGCTACTTGAATCACATTAGTGTACTTTACTGATTTCTCATTGTCCTTTTCATTTACCTCATGGGCTGTGAGTACGTAGTGATTTTTCCTTAAAGAGTTATAAAACTAAGTGTACTGGACTGGACTTGTAATGTTCTGTTCTGTTCCTGGACTGAACACAGAGCTCAGCAGTGCACATGTAGAGAAGTACAGGAGAAGTTTCCATAAACTTTACGTGGCGGCTGTGGCTCAGGCGGGTCGGTCAATGATCGGAAGGTTGGCGGTTTGATTCCGCCCTGTAACCTGTGTCATGGTGATTGCGTCCTTGGGCAGAGGCGACGCCTGCTTTTACAGCACAATCACACGCTGGTGCTGAGTGAAATGTCAAAGCGTTCTCCTTTCAGTTAACGGGATTTTAATTCATGCCTTTGAAAGGAGCTTATTTTCTCACCTTAAGTTAAAACTGTGACAGAAAGTCAGGAAGGGACGGAGCCGATTCATGTTACCTCCATCAGTACTGCAGAGCTGACCGACGCTGTCGATGCTCTAAGTTACATTATCGTTCACATTATTGCATTATTTTCCCGGGAAATTTAATGAATCATTTTAAGTATAAATTTTTTGTCCATTTTGGAGACAAGCTTGCATCATCGTGTGATAATTGTAGTATTTTGTAGCTTAAATGCAGCATTTTAATCCAATGCATCATTAAAAAACGTACAGGTTAGACAGTCAGAAGTGCAGCTTCAGTGCAGCTAAAATGACTCCAGCCTTCTTTGCCCAAATCCATTCACAGTCATGGCGCCACCTATTGGTAACAGTCTGAGGCATTACACTTACATGTGCCATTGCTTCAAACTTTGTGATATCATTCTTAAAATTGGTCAGCTAAGTCTTTCCACATTGTTGATGCTACAGCGTGAAGCTTTTGTGTTTTCAAGCAACGGTGTTGCCATGGCGACGCATAGTTGCTATGACACGGAAAGGATTTTTTGACAGCTTTAGAATGCTCATAAAGTCACCAAAACTGACAAACGAGTCACTATCGGCTCAACCACAGACAGTGTGTGCCTGTTTGGCAAAATGGCTTTATAGCGCCCCCTGCAGCAATTTATCCATTAGCCCCCGCAGGACATTTAACTGACGTTTACAAAATTTGGTAGGCATATGTAACACATCGGGACGCACAATAAAGCCTCCTGGACCCAAACCGTAAACTCAACAGGAAGTCCGCCATTTTGAAACAAGTGTGCAATTTTTGGTGATTTTTGTCATTTTCGAGAGCAAACTCCTCCTAGGGGTTAACTCCTACACGCCTCAAATTTGGCCAGCACATACAGCAGGGCTTGGTGATTAAAAGCTATTAAAACGCCCCGCAAAAGTCTGAGGGCGTGGCCATGGCGGCCCTCTGAATTGTGATGATTCGCCATCAAAAAGGAAGCGTGTCTAACGACCCTGTACATGCTCCAATCTGCCTCAAACTTTACATACTCGATCACAGTCCTGCCCTGATGAAACCCATATGCCAATATCCATTCACAGTCATAGTGCCACCTGCTGGCTGTAGGAAAGAATGTGTTTTACACTTTCATGTGCTATTATTAGCCGGTTGACCATATTGACCTCAAATGCGGTGATATGAGCCTTTAGATGTTGATGATGACTCAAACCAAAAATGGTGAGTTTACGTCAAATGGCGTGTCCATGGCGGCCCACTGAACATTGATGCTTTGCCATGAAAGAGCCTCCCTGCCCTCTGCATGCTGCACTCTGCCTCAGTCACCATCACAGTCCTCTGATTGTCATCATGCTTCTGTACATAGAACGAAACTGCAGTCAGAAGTCCAACTTTATAAAGGCTGAGTGAGGTAGTGGGTCACCTGTGTAGTTAGTGTGCTCAGAGCGCATTTCTGCCACAATCCCCAACATGCGCCGCGTCCAACACACGTGGAAGTGCGACGGTCCGTCCAACGCTGCTTGCAGTTTTAATTACATTTAATGTGCATGATATCAAGTTATCAGGCTCCTTGATTACTAATAATTGGTACTGGCCCTGAAAAAAAGATCATTCATTGCTACTAAACAGCAGTAGAGACTCTCACACTGAGCTGAAAGAAAACTACTGACCATA